GCTAGTCTTCCACGCAAATAACGAAATGTGCTAGTCTTCCACGCAAAAATCTGAAATGTGCTAGTCTTCCACGCAAATAATGAAATGTGCTAGTCTTCGACGCGAATAGTGAAACGTGCTAGTCTTCCACGCGAATAGTGAAATGTGCTACTCTTCGTAGGGACCGACGATATCATTAGGAACGTTCTAAAGAATAAGTAAACAAAAAAATGTATTCCAAACGTTTAGAATGAATAAAGAAATGCAGCGTTAATAGTTTACAAACATTTTCTTATAATATTTAACTTTCAGATATTTCTGCACTTTGTCAATGGCAAAATATATTACAAAAAATCAACCCTATTAATCTGGCACATCTGCATTTAATTATTAATACAGCACACCCTGTATTGACTTTTGGCGCTTGCATATTTGCAACTAGTTTCACTACAAGCAAAAAAAAACAAAACTAGAAAAAAGCGTAAATATGGCACAAAAATCTATAACGTTAGTTTCCAAAACATTAAGGAATCCTTTCGTACGTGTTAATATCCAAAATACATTTGTTTTTAGGTCATTCTTTAAGCCAGCTGCGAGTGCAAAAATTGAAGAAGCGTCGAGCGCAAAGCGTTGCAGGTAGTTTATACAAAAACGCGCTAAACTTTTTTGAGCAATAATTGATATCCTATTCAAGACAGGAAAGTCCACAATCGAGTGAAAAGAATGGCGAGCCGGAGCAAAAGGTTCTAAAACAATCTGCGGTGTCTCCCAAAACGGAAACTAAGAAAAGTCTACAGATTAATGGTAAAAGTAGTGAAACGAAGAAAAAATCACCAAAGGCTTCTAAAGAATCTCCCAAAAATAAACTTGAGCAAATTCCATTGAAAAAGGAAGCCGCCGAGATCAAAAAGGATGTGACTAGTGAGGCTGGCAAATTGGTAGACGAAAAACCTACAACAGCAGCTAAAGGTAGTGCAGAAAGCCCTAACAAAAATGAAGCTTTGAGTGTAAAGAAACTTTCGGTTGAGTCAAACCAATGTGGTGCCGAATATAATCCAGGAGCAACGAGATATCATCCTATAAAGGACGCGTATTGGAATGGAAACAAAAAGTTAGAAAATTGGCATTCAAATTTATTATTTGTATTATTTACTATACTTTCCAAAACAGCACACCTTATTTGGCTTTGGCCAGAACTTTTGAACTAATTGAAGACACTAAAGGACGTTATAAGATGGTAGAGATACTTGCAAATTTCTTATGTTCAGTGTTATTATTGAACACAGATGATTTACTGTACTGTATTTATTTAAGTATCAACCAACTGGCACCGGCTTATGAAGGTATGTTTATTTTAACTGAAACTGCAAATTTCAATAAGTAAAAAGGTGCGAGTATTTAGAAGCATATAAAAAGAGAAAAATTCTTTCCTCACATTTGCAGGTGTTGAGCTTGGAGTGGCAGAGACTACATTGATGAAGGTTATAGCCGTATCTACTGGGCGTGAACTAAAGTTTATTAAAGCTCAAACGCAGGAAATTGGCGATCTTGGTATTGTTGCCGAGCGCTCCAGAGTTTCCCAGCGAATGATGTTCACGCCAAAACCTCTAACAGTACAAACTGTCTATCAGAAATTGAGAACAATTGCGAAAAGTTCCGGCAAAGCCAAATCACCAATTATACATGATCTCTTTGTGGCATCACGATATTCAGAAGCGCGATTTATTATAAGATCACTGATTGGCAAGATGCGTATAGGAATTGCAGAGAAAAGTTTGTTTCAAGCTTTGGCAACAGCTTTAGTCAACAGTCGAGCGTACGATGAGAAATGTCCAAAGAAGGCGAAACAATCTGAAGCTGATATAAAGAAGGATATCGATGATATTACTCTTCTGCTAAAAACGGCTTATTGGTAAGAGAGAGAGAATGTTTATAGTAGAACAACAAATTAAAAAAAAAAATAATAATTGTTACAGCCAATGTCCAAATTTCGACAAAATCGTATCGACACTTCTCACTCATGGTATCGATGATCTGCTCAAGTATTGTTCAATGGAGCCAGGTGTTCCATTGAAGCCAATGTTAGCGCACCCAACAAGGGGTGTATCCGAGGTGATGGATCGCTTAAAAGGCAACATTACATGCGAATGGAAGTATGATGGAGAACGGGCGCAAATTCATCGTGACAAAGATGGCAACGTTAATATATACTCTCGTAATCAGGAAAATAATACAACCAAATATCCCGACGTAATACGGCGCATAGATGAATTCAAAAAGGACAGTGTTGAATCATATATAGTTGATAGTGAAATTGTTGCATGGGATATTGAACACAAACAAATTCTGCCTTTCCAAGTACTAAGCACACGGAAGCGAAAAAATGTCGATTTAGAAGAGATCAAAGTGCAAGTCTGCGTTTATGCTTTCGATTTACTGTATTTGAATGGCGAGGCGTTGACTCAAAAAAAACTTCGCTGAACGAAGGCAATTGCTAAGAGAAAACTTTAACGAAGTTGAAGGAGAATTTCAATTTCCAACTTCATGCGACACAAATGATCCGGACGATATACAAGGCTTTTTGGAGAACTCCATTAAAGGTTGGTTGAAAAATGTAATTGATATTATAATGTAGATTTTTTAATTTTAATTTAATTTCGATATATATGTAAATGCTTCGATTTTAGGAAATTGTGAAGGCCTGATGATCAAGTCGCTAGATAATGACGCATCTTACGAAATTGCTAAACGTTCACACAAATGGTTGAAATTGAAAAAGGATTATTTGACTGGCGTTGGAGACTCGCTAGACCTCGTTGTTATCGGCGGTTACATTGGCAAGGGCAAACGAACTGGTGTGTATGGCGGCTTCTTGCTCGCCTGTTACGATGATGAAAATGAGGAGTATCAAAGTATTTGCAAAATAGGCACAGGTAAGTGTAAATTGGGCTATGTCTTTTAATGCGGTATGTGGTAGTAACATAAAACAACATAAATCTTTCATCTTTAAGGACTGAATGATGATGATTTAAATGCACATGCCAAATTCTTTAAGGAGCACACGATACCGGCACCAAAATCTTATTATCGTTTTGATCCCACCCTAGCGCCTGATACTTGGTTCGAGGCTGTGCAGGTTTGGGAGGTAAAATGTGCAGATCTTTCATTGAGTCCCGTACACAAGGCTGGAATTGGTATTATTGATCCAGAAAAGGGCATATCACTGCGGTTTCCACGTTTCATACGCATGCGTGAGGATAAATCAGCGGAGGATGCAACATCTGCACAACAAGTTGCCTACATGTACCGCAATCAAGATCAAGTCAAGAATCAAAAATCGAATCCCGCTGAATTTGATGATGATTTTTATTAATCGTGTAGAAAATTTAAATATGTATTTTTATGAAACCTCTATACGATGATTTACCTGTTTATTGCAAATCGAGAAATTTATAATTTTACAATCTTGCACAGCCAGTAAAATGATTTCAAATGAGTACCAATGTATGTCGCAAATAATTGCACTAGTATGTATGTATAAGAAAATATTACGAGTTGCTAACGAAGCTCAAAACATAAAAAAATTTTAAATTTTTTCCGCATTCAATTCGATATGATTCTACAAGCGTGAAGCTTTCAAATGCAGAAGATTTCATGAAAATATTTCCCTTAGAACCACAATTATAAATATTTAAAGCAAGTTTTTGGTGCAGCGAATTCAATATTTTCGCATTGCATATGTACCGATTTTCTTACGATAGCAGAGACTACAACCACAGCGCTGGGCACATGTTGCTAGCTCTAAGTCGTCAACATGTTAACAAAATGACGTTGACAACATGTTGGCTCGGAATCGTCAACATGTGTCTTTTAGAGAAATGGTTGCGGTCTGTGCTACTCCAGCGTAGCCACAGGGTGCACTTGATTAATATTTTTCGTCATTCGTTGCTCAATTTTTTTTTTTTGATGATGCATTTCCGAACGTTTTTACTGCAATCGGAAATAACTTTTTTGATGATGCATTTCCGAACGCTTATTTGCAGTTTATCGGTTTTAAATATTTAAAGCTGCCGTTCTACTGGGAATATTTTCATTAACTTTTCGGAATTTTAAAGCTAAAAACTTGAATCAAATTACTCTTCAATAAAAATACAATCTGTGCGTACGATTATTAAAATCGAAATATAGCCTAAAACTAAAGTTTCAGTGAACTGAAGAGCTATCAGCAAGAAATCTTGTCGAAAGTTGGCCCACTATTCGGAAATGCAGCAAACCAAAGCATCCAAACGTTAATTGCTAGAAAAGTCCAATTTGCGCAACTAAGTTCCAATTCGGCATCTAGCCGCGTTTGCGCATATTGCACATTTCTATCAATTATAGTTTAGAAAATAAGAGACTGATGCTTTGTTTTTCCGAATAGCCCTTAGCTTGGACCTTCTTTGATTTGAGAGGAAGTTGAAATTTTTGAAGTTAGCTTTTATAAAAATAAAAAATGTTATTACATTTTTGTATGAAATTATTATTTTTTAATTACCCGTATTTGAAATAAAAATAAAAAACTTAATAAATTGTGAATTTCAATACTCTTTCAAGTGTGAACTTACGTGCAAAAAACCTTAAAAATATTTAAATGTTTAGTTTCTTTTTGGTATTTTATTATTCACTTTCTACTATTTATATTGCATTACATTAATACGATCTTTTAACCTAAGGCTTCTTTATTTCATATAAGTATGTATTATTATTTTCAACTCAGTTGTTTTGTAATCCAATTATTTAGCTAAATTTTCCATTAGGTTTCAACCGTTTGGTCATAATTTCCGCTTGAGATTTCCACATTCTCATCGAAGAATCCCAACATTAGCATTTCTTTTTCAGAAAAGTTATAAGGAAAATGTAGACTAGTTGGCACGAAAATTTCCCCGCGTATGTTGCTAAGGAGATAAATAAATACATACAAGTAAATTAATTGTTGAAAACGGGGAACTTAAAAAAAATCCATACAGAATTACGAGTTTAAAATAAATCACCTTTTATCGTTTTCGCTAAAATATGTACGTCGATATCAATATTTACGACATATTTATCGAAAACGTAATCGATATATTGGGGAATATATTCGAATCGAAAATTTTGAATTTTTCTAAAATTTTTTTAACACTACAAAAATTCCAATTTTCGAATCCTACGAAAACAAGAATATACGCTATTATTTAAGTCGCTATCGATATTTATACACATTTATCCATTTTATTTTAAAATTCCGAAAATACAAAATAATATATTATGGAGATGTCTTAAACTGGAAAAACCTTTGAAACTTTTATTGATCTGTCAAAACTTCTTTGAAAAACACTCAAAAGTTTTCAAGTTTTTCGAGTTTAAAGGTCATTTTCACGATGAAGAATGAACTTACCGACTCAGTTAACTTTCAATTTTCATTTTGAAAATCGGTAGGTTAAAACCCCCTTGCCAACAGGAAGTAGCAGTAGAGCAGATGATTCGATTTTTTTTTTTATTATTTGGTCTCTAAAATTAATTTTTTCATAAAAATTTTCAATTATCCAAATTTATTTCATAAAAAGAAGCGATCTAAAACCAGCTTTTGGAACTGTCGCTTAACTCTGCAACACAAACGCTGATTTTCGGGCCTTGTAAAGAATGAATCGATGCTTCGGACGTGAACAAATTAACCAAGAAAGAATGTCGCACCAACTTTAATTTATTTTTTTTTTTTTAATTTACATGATCTAATAAAAAGGTAGAATATTTTTTAACACTTTAGAGACCAGAAGAAACAGCAAATTACACGTTAATGTTGATTTTGCTCAAATGTTACTCCCTGTTTCATATGCCTTGGAATTACCTAACTTTGAATATGTAAATATTACAATACCACAACTTACGAATTTGGTGTCTCATTATAGCCAATGGTGTATTTATAGGGTATATTTGTGGCAGCACGTTTAGAGGCGCACCAAGTTGGCTCGTATTGCATCGCATAGAAAGGATAATCGAATGCATTAATATATATTTGAACACATAAGCCATGACTGCTGTAATATGGTTGACTAGAGGCAGCCGGCTGGAAGTGACCGCAGCTACCCAAACGGACATTCTGATGGCAGGTATAAATGCGTGTACCCTTGTCGCGACTCGAATGCAAACATTGTACATGGCGGGCGGCGTCACGATGATCGATGTGGGTGAAAACATCAAAACCGGGACCAGCCATATCACAAGCTACAAACATACATTCAGTGAAAAATTAAAAACCGCTTTGATAAAAACCAATACCATTAAATACTTACTATCTATGCTGCGGAAAAGGTAGTCCTTACTCAGACTTCTGCCGACAGCCGACGCTAGCTGTCCGCCAAAACTGAAACCGAACATGTAACCATTGTCCGGATTGAAGCCTTCGTTTATAAGCAGCAGCATGCGCTTTGTAATTACGTTGGATATCCTGCGAAAACTTCTGTACAACCACATATAAGAGTCTTGCGCAAAAAATGCATAGTCTATGCACACTATGCAACCGCCGCGATGGTATGTCAGACCTGTAATTAAATCAAAAAAAAAAAAACAAAAGCAACCACACCAAATACCATATTTTCATAAGTTTCATAAGCTGCATCAGCGTTTAACACCTACAAAAATTTTACTCACGTTCAATGAGTGTGAGCACCCATTCGGTTTCGCAACTTTGACGCCAACCATGCATTATGAAGGCAAATTTTTCATCCGGCGAACAGCCAGACTTAGCCAAGGCGCTGGTTTCATCACTTGCGCTTTCGTAAACCTTTTCACCATTCCTAATTTAATTTTCATTCTTAATTTTTATTTCACTTACATACATACATATGTACACATTTATTTATTTGAAATTTTTGTATTTTATTTCGTTAAACCTGTTTCAAGACAATTGGAGCCGCACCCAAACGTACGTACCTGTAGTATTTAAAACGTATACCCTTGCGAAACTCTTTTTCATTTTCCCAACGTCTATTGAGTCTCAAGGTCTTCAATTGTTTTATTAAACCTGCGGGCTGGAGTCTACCAAGGCAACGGCGACAGGTGCGTTCATTACGAATGCCATCTAAATCCTGTTGATCCCCATCTTCATTGGCAATAAGCAATTGTAAGAGTGTTAAAAATATAAGCAAATATAAATTTAGATATTTCGAGGTCATTTTTAAACGCCGAATTGTAATGCACTTTGAACATTGTTTGGTTTAGAACGCTTTGCTGACATTTGCACTACTGTTTGTTGTTATGGAGTTTGTGGTAATAAGCGTTTGCGGTTGACTGATTTACTATTACAAGTTGAGAAACTTTTTCCACAAAACTAGTTTAAGCAGATAGTAGGCAATATGCGTAAGCAGATAGGGTTTAAAAAAATAATAACATACAATTTTAATTTTTTTTTCACAAAAAGAACGGAAGTGACCTAAAATAGAAAAATAATAACTCGTACTGTTTTTTTTTTTAATTTTCATCAAATTAAGATCTTTAACACTAGAGAGACTGAAAAAGCTACGTACCTTGAAAGACGGACGGGGGTCATTTGACCCAACTACTTTAAAATTAATTTTAGTAACAAAAAAACTTATAATGTAAATTAAAAACTGTTAATTCATTTTAAAATTGAAACACATCCATGAAATAGAAATGCCTTCAAATTAAATTGTATGCAATTTTAATAAAAGTCACGAAATACCCATTTAGAAGGATAACTGGCAACAGATAGATTGGCAGTAGAATTGAAAATGGATCAAATGAGCCCTTTTCGTCTTTATAGTGTAAAGCGCTTGAAATTTAAATCTGTACTTATATTATGAATAATTTTAATAATGGACATAAGTTATGCGCAATTTAAAAATTGGGCCTCAATTTTGGTAATGTAAAAAACATTATAATATAATTTTTGGTAATTTACCAACTAGGCAATATTTTTTCGGTTAATTCTGGTAATTAGAAAACTAGGCGTACGAATTTTTTTTAATCTAAAACCGAACCATTAGGAAAATTTTTGATATTGAAAGTTAAAGTTGGATATAACTGCTTGATATGGGCCATTCCATTGAAAAGAGGAAAACGACATACATTTAAATATGCCCTAATTATCTCTATTTCAGTAGTAACCTCTTTTTGAATGACTACATTTCATAAGCTGTGGGAAAATATTATAAAAATCAAAATAAGTTTTAATTTATTATTTCATGCATAATTACTTTAAATATTTATTTTTTTAATATTTCTATGAAAATTTTTATATACCTCACTTTTATTGAAAACGAAAGCGTATAATTCATATTTTACAACACAAATACATCGTTCGTGAAAATTAAGTGTTTTGGCTAAAATTCATCTTTGAGTGCACAAGGGTAAAATAGAGTTCTTTTCAGTGTCCCACCAGTCACATTTATTCAAATGATAGTTAAAATTCACAATTGATCACATTGTGGAGTAAAATGTCCCACTAGACACAAGGGAATGGCCCATAACTTATAAAATTAAAATATGTACGAAAATTTCTATTAATTTAAAAACGACATACATTTTTAGATATTTTTTGATAACTCAAAAACAGCAGACCATTTGTGGTAATTTAAAAACTGGGCAGAAAAATCAGACATAAGCACATTGATGTACATAAATATAACCCCATTCATCCAGTCGACTTTTTTTAGTTTCATTTTTCTTTACTTACTTAAGCCTTTAATTTTTACCGCGTCGCCTGCTGTGGCCGAATAGTTTTAGAGGTGTATACCAACACTCAGTAGATTGCAAGTTCGATGCAGGCTCGACCAACATCCAAGTTTTCTCCTAACAGCGGTCGCCATCCATCTGGCAATAGCAAAACTGTGAGAGCATTTCAGCTCTAAAAAAAGTTCTCACAAAATACCATCTGCCATTCGTAGGCGGCGGTAAACTTAAGGACCCTCCATATAAGTAGATAAGTTCGGCCATACCCTTAGCAAAATGTGTAATTGGAACCTGTGTTAGAAGATCTTCCAATAGTTATGCCATTCGAAGGCAGACGAGAAGGGGTATTTCCAAAGCAGTGGGAGTCAAATCAAAAAAGAAGAAAAACAGCAGTAGGTATGTCGGTACTTATCTGGAGCTAAACTAAATTTATACTGCGTAATTTTATTTCCATACAAATTTTCGGAATCATCGAAACTCTGATTATTCCATACGAAAAAAAGTAATAAGAAATCGGAAATGGAAGGTCTATCGTTCAAAAAATCAGAAATAAGCGCTACTAGAAGGCTTCTATTTATTCATAGTTTTCTCCGTGTTTTATCTTTTTTTTTTGTAAATTTTATATTATGTGTCTAGTTTTCAAAAGGCCCAACTTTGTCTGAAAAAAAAACAAACGCGGGACACCATAAGCAAAATAAAATGATCAAAAATCAATGGATTTTTTTAGAAACTTTAACTTGCACTTTACTAAAATTTAATAGGATATATTCTTGAATAATCAAAATTTTCTGAAAAATCTGATTAGAAATTTGGAAAATTTGTATGAAAATTGCTGCGCAAAGTTGCCCTATTTGTGCAAAAGGGTTTCCCTACAAATTTTGACATTTAATTTGCCAGGGTTTAAAACTGCACACTTTGCCCAGTATGCGAGGGGTTTGCGCCTTTAAATTAGTACCCTTTAGGTGTATGTATAAGGGTGATTGAATCGGTTTTTACAACCCGGTTTCCACCTGTTTTTTTGCATATCTCTTTTTTTTTGAAATCTTGATTTTAACCCCCGGAGTTATTTTTCGAACCAGCCGGTTTTTTTTCATTTCACACAAATCTTGACCTCTGAATAAAATTTTGAGTTTTTCGAAGTTTTCAAGGCTTTTTCCAGTTTAAGGGAAACAAACCTCTACATATAGAGATCTATAGAACCATTGAACCATGGACTTTCTGGATAGCAGTAGGCACATCTAAGCACTCGGCTATTTCGCCACAGCACTACTCAAATCCGATAACTCAGAAAAATAATAATTCTACCTTTGTGTAAATTATTGTTGTTTTCCACACACTTTTTTCATTAAAAACGACCTCCAGCTAAATAAAATTGTTGGGTATTAAAAAAGTTTAAAAAAGACCAAACGTGAATTTTTCACTGATTTTTACTTTTTTAATTTTGATTTTAAAAATACTTTGAACTTATTTTATTTTGCTCTTTTCTGATTACAAGCTATCTTTAATGTCAATAACGTATGCGGACTGAAATGTGGACTATTTCTAAGCAGACTTTTAAAAAAATTCTCGTAAACACAGGAGCCAAACTAACTATACCAAAATCTACTGTGAAATTCTAAAAAGCAAAGGAAATGTCGGCTTTATAGAATAGAAAACAGTAAAAGGAAAACCCACGCGTGCGAAAAAACATGTTTCAGATAGCAGCGAAATGACACTGTAACAAGAATCATAAAATGCTTGATCTCTCTGCAAAATCACAGCATATAATGACAATAAAGTACGAAGTAAGCCAAAAAACATTACGAGTACCACTTTGCACAAAATTTTTTAAACACTGAAAATGAAAATTAGAAGCGGCTCTGAGCGCTTTCTCAAAATATGCTTGCAGCACATTTATTTCAGTTTTGTACAACGGAATAGGGAAAATTTTTTCATTGGGGACCCATAAACCGACTCCAGATATAACTATGAACTGTTTGTCGTCGAAATGGCTAAAAACAATAATAACTCAAATTGGCACAATAAAGTCCCAAAATAGTATTTAAAAAAAAAAGCCCTCCGCACTATGCCCGAAAATTTAAGCAAGCCAATCGTTATGGACATGAATCTTTTCTATAAAAATTTTTCTTGCAAATTTCGACAATATCTATGTATGTAATATTTGTTGCATCCGAAAGTATAGCTGTTTCTTTTTACTACATCAGTTCGTATTTCATTCCACATACGTTAGTTTTATAGTAATTTTTTCCATGACTTCATACCAACATAAGTATTTTCACTGCATGAAAACTATGTAAAATAAAGCCGGTTTATCCGGTTTTTCTCTTAATTTCAAAATAGGGCACCGGTTTTTTCTTAAATTCAAAATAGGGCACACGTTTTTTTAGAAATTGCAATTTTACGAAAACCTCGAAAACCGGGTTTGGAAAAAAGGCGAGTAATCGAACACCCTAGTATGTATACAGTGTGCCAACCCAGCGCTTATCAAAAAAATAAAAGTTTTTGCAGGGAAGTACTGGCAAACAAACAATTGCCAAATATGGATATGAACAAAAAGAAACGTCAGTATTGGCACACTGTATACACTGTGGTACGAATTACACTATATTTATATAAAAAAGTTGTGTATTTGTGTTGCCTAATTATTTTCTTTAGTTCCCAACAATAAAATATTTACGAATTTCCTACATAACAATTTTGTGTATTATTTATACATACTTACCTACTTAAATACTATACATATATGTATGTATGTACATTAGGATAGCCCTTAGTTATATGGAGAAAAATAAAAGTGTTTGGATTCTCGGCCTTACCCCCTAGAAACGTGTGAATAGCCTAAAGACTAAACTATACAAATTTTAGGTCAATCAAAAAAGATTTAGAGGTGGCTCAAAGCGCTCAAAGTTTCCCATTTGTTTTATATGGCGGAAAAACTATTTTTCGTAGAAATTGTATAGAATCCTTGAAAAGCAATATTTTTTAATTGGCAAACTCTCTCTTTAGGAGACTTCAAAAAATAACACCCAATTGGTTATTTAAAATTTGTTTAGTATTAACAATTTTTATGGATCCCCTCATTGCATTTTTAGGGGTTTTGGGGGAACCATAACAAATTTTTAATATTAATAAACTTTTAAATAAATAATTGGTTATTTTTGTGGAAGTGCCCTGAAGAGAAAGAGTTTGGCGATTGGAAAATATTGACTTTCATGGGTTCTATACCATTTCTACAAAAAATTGTTTTTTCGCCATATAAAACTTTGAGCGCTTTGAGCCACCTCTAAATATTTTTTGATTGAACCAAAACTTTGTATAGTTTAGTTTATAGGCTATTCACACATTTCTAGGGGGTAAGAACGAGAATCCGAGCCCTTTTCGAAATAAGGGACACCCTAATGTACATATGTATACGTACATATTTTTATATAGAATACCTGCTTCCTCCCCGCCTATTTTTTTAGGAATAAAAATATGAATATGTGTCTTTGATCAAACATGGTATTTTTATTTAATTGTTCTTAAAGAATTTTGTTTTTTATTTGCATATTTTTATTTCCACTGACACTAAAAATAAACCTATAACAACTCATATTGGCGAAGATGCATTCTTTGAATTATATCTCGACAATCATTAAACACTCTTTTGATATTTTCCGTATCAACTGCACATGTAAAGTGCGGATAACAGTAGTGTTTGCCATCGCCACTAGCAGTTGAAATACGCTGTAATGAGGCAGAAGAACGAAGGAGCAAATATTTTTTTTAGTTTATTTTTAATTTTGAATATTATTATTTTTTCTCTTTTTTTTTAGAATGTGGTGCATTTGTTGGTTGGTTTGAATGATTTATGGTAATGATTTGGATTTGGGTGATAAACAAAAGTGGCGCAGATTATGAGAAAGTTTAGGAAAAAAATAAGAAAATCATAAATAAGCAATTCTGCGATTATTGTTGGAAGATTAGCTTGTATATCCAAATAATTTGGCTTGTTTTGGGTCTCTGTTATAATAAGTATACGTACTTGAATCTTTTGTTTGATTCGCATTTGATTTCAGAGCTTGCATTTTCCTCCAGATTTGAGATTTTCAAAGCCATTTGGCTGGTACCTTTTAGCAGTCACTTTTTCGAGAAATGCCCCACAGAGCATAGCCCTTCAGCAACCTCGCGCTAGCAAGAGCTAGGTTCTCACGTCATTTTCTTTCATATTGTATGAGCAGATTAGAGCACTTGGCGTAATGGTCTGGAAAGGCGGCTGTCACTAACAATAGGTTATTGTATCGCCGAGGACTCTTTCATTTCTCTATTTAGTTTGCTTTTTCCCCGACATTAAAATCACGTATTACATATACTCGGATACACTTGAAAAGGAACATTTTCTTGCATGATCCGAGGTTATATCTGGACTTGTGGGTATCGGGAGCTTCATTTCGAAGCATGTCTTAAAGCACTCTTTACAAAAATCGCATTGGCGCCAAATGTAATCGATTTTAAACAATATTTTTTTACAATAGCTAGTATACAGATATTGCAAGATATTTTTAATAGCTTCGAAAGCTCTTAAAAGCTTCATTTTATCACTTTCACTCCATTTTGCGGCAGGAACGTACATTTGCAACGAAAAAAGTAGGTAAATGCTGTATTATGAAATATCCATTCCGTTTTCTTTTTGAGTTTATCTATCGCTAATAACTGATATGCTTATCTATTATTATTCTAAGGTAAGTTGAGCTTTAGAGCAGTGATTTCTTGATGAGTGCATCAATTTGGAGGCCTAAATTTATCGGAGTCTATGCTCGATATTTTATAAACAGGCATTCAAGGGTTAAGAAAATGGAGAAAACGAAGGGACTTCCTTGGATACTTTGTTTTCATGAATCAGAATAAATTTTGCTTAACAACTTTTTAAGCGTTCAACGGCACTGAAGAAAATCAAAAAGTTGAGCACTTCTCGGATCGAAGACTTTGCGGGCGATATGTTAGGAATAAAATTAAAAGGCCTGCAAATATTGTTGACAGCTGAAACTAACAGGCATCATCGCATGAAAACGTAATGAAATGGAACGAACCCCAAAGGCCACACGAAAATGATAGAAGGCTCCTTGGCAGGTTAACTACATATTGTAGTGATATTGCACCAAAATTTAAGAAAAAAGGTGGGGCTCATGATTTTTGAAATTAAGTATTCTAAGATCGAGAGGATAGTATGTATAGCGGCCTGAAGCGCGAATTCGTATTTTAGAACAGCTGAGCTCATATTTCAAACGGCGAAAATAGCGAAATATTCATAAGAAAACAATTATAAAGGAAACAATCTCCTCAACAAACCCGCATTATTAGATTAATTTTGTGAGTACAAAATTTTGCTCCAATTTGTGCCATAGGACCTATAACAACAAGGATAAGGAAGCAAATTGTACCTTTTTTCTCTGGCCACACTATTTTCGAGACCTTGATTCACTGGCCAATCCGTTTAATGGTAGCAGCTTGTTCTCACGGCGATGGAATTTTCAATGACCGAGATGTCCATGAATTATTATATAAGGCCTATAAAAGTCTTCCAAGCAAGGTTTTTAAAAACATTGGCATTAAGGAGGTAGTGCATAATACCAAAGTACTCATATTAATTAAAAAACTAAATATCAAAAGGAAAATCCTAACAAACAAACTTGAAAAACCTGCTCAAACAGGCCCGGTGGGCCACAAGGATATACAGAATCGTTCGCAATGCAAGCTGAAGTTCTAAACACATTGAAAACGACGTGCTACGGGCCACAGCTTCCAATTTGTTATCCTCATCATCTAAACTCTAAGTCGATGATGACATGATTTTTTTGAATGCGGCAGTGTGAAATCATGAATTTGTGTGAGTTTGACATGAGTTTGATCTGTCGCTGGAAAATAGATAGATATAATAGATATAATCTGGCCACAAACACAGTCGTCGCCAAATAATTATCTATGTACATAAGAGTACGTGTTAAAATAATTTGACAACTGTGGTCCGCAGCTCGTCGTTTTCATTGTGTTCGGGCTACGACGATCTGTTCTACGAAATTGTAGTGAGCGGTACCGTACCGGGCTTGATTGATCTGGGCTTACAACGGATTTTTGAATTTTGTGTGTGATGACGTGAAATTTTCAGTGCAACCAAAATGTATGTATGTATGTGAGCATATACAAAGTCGCATATGGGTATTTCCATACGTCATATACGTGACAGTCGTACGTTTAAATGAGATACAAACAAGGAAAAACATTTGTTTTTTTTTTTACTTTTTTGGACCCTTGTGTAGCACATAATTAGCTCTATGTTTAACCGAAAAATGAAAACAATCGAACCGCATGGTCCTGAAATATACGCGAGACGTTACGTGACAAAAATGGAAGTAGATTTTTCCTTCTCTTACAAAATCGCAAAACTCTGCGAAAGTATGATTTGAAGTAATGCCAGTTGTTTTTAGAGTTTTTTGAATTAATGCAACTTGTTTTAATTTTCTTTTACAACCTCAAGTGTGAAACGTTAGTGACGTGACACAAATTTCCATATATATATTTTTGTTAATATTGCTTGTAAATGAATTTTTAACGCAAATAAAACATGAATTTTGTCGAATATACTGTATATTTTGACTTCAGCGATAATTCAGGGTAATCTTTTCTTGGAAATCAATGATTTATTATGTTTCAACTACATACGGTTTTTCAAAATATCTCGACCTTGGCGCACCTAGCAACACCAGTATATATTTGAAAAAGCAGACAAATTGGCCCATAAATAAGTTAGATATATGACTTTTTTCGCGGTAGATTTTCCGATGGAAACACCCATATTCAAAATTGTATGTAGAGGAATAACAAGTAACGAGCTACCCTTTAATTTTGAGGATGTATGCATGTACATGGTGTGCTTTTACTTTTTGCAAGCTTTTTTTACTTTGCATAAATATAAATAAAATTTGCTATATGTGACAGGAAAAGTTAAGAGGGATCGACGGTTCGAAAATAAGTTTTCGAGGAAAACCACTTTGAAGTTAACAACTGAAATCGATTTGTACTTTTATTGGCAATCTGTCCATTTTTGAAGTAAAAAAAAAACACTAGTGCAGGTAAAAAGCTGCGGTTTGTAGCATAGAAAAGAGTGTAGCAAGTCTCGTTCTATGAAACGGTGATGTGAAAATAAAAACTTAGTTTTGTTTTTCATTTTAAGCGATTCCCGATCATTAAATACTTTTTGAGTTTAAGGCAACAATATTCTTTATGACAAGATGATGTCTTTGAACAAAATGCCGAACTCTTCTTTTTCAAAGACACAAAACTTTGATTCTCATTCGAAAACATAGTGAAATTATACTAGGTGAAGTAATAGGAGCGAGAAGAAATATTTATATTGATTTGAACCATCTTGTGTATTTGAAAATTTGCCTTTAAAATGTTGGATAAGATAGCCGAATGACACGATATTAAAGTGGGAAAGCTGTTTTATTACTTCAACTGTTTATTGAGCCTTGATTCGAAAAACGAATCGCAATTTTATGTGAAGTGGTGAAAAATGTTTTCACTTCACATTATTAGAGAACAGGAGAACAGAAATTGGCTCTTTTAACTTTTCCTGTGACAAATTTGCATTTATAAAGTTCTTATCATTTACAGAGCCAATCGGCCCTATTCCGATTATCGGAACGACAGTCGTTCGTCGAAATTTGAGATTTTCATTGCCGTTATGAGGCAACCGATGACATAATCTACTAAAAATGTGTATTCCTATTATCCTTTCGAAATGAAGAAGTAGTGAAAACGTGTTAAAATCTGTCGTTAATGTTTTTATCTACGACTCATTTCAACGAACGACTTACGACAACCGGAATAAGGGTGATTAAAGAGTAAGACGTTTCTGTTATTTTTCCCAAATATGTATGTATTCAAATTTCTTACTTACCAAAAATTCATCTCGAATGAAATATTTTGCTCTGATCACTTCTGGGTCATCACCAGATTCTGTTATAGCATCACCTGTAAATTAAAACAAGAAAATAAATTATTGAAATTTCCATTTTGTTCCGGGCTTTCGATTAAAAAAATAATACAATGTCCGATTTCCACTCCGCATAAAGAAATACAATTTTTGTCATTTCAGTGTCAAGTGGGAATTTGACATGGTAATTTTTTAGTTTAGCACAAAATAAAGTCAAATTAATTAAAAGAATTAAAAATTTTAATCTATTAAATATTGTTATATTGCGATTATACTGACATCGACTGACGACGAAGTAGAGAGGAGAGTTTAAACCCTGGAAGTGCTTGTACATATATAAATACAGTGCCGTACAAAAGTATTGACACAGAGAATTTTTCTCAATGTATGCAAAGTTTTTTGTTCTAATTTCTTTTCGCTAATTTGTTATAAAAATATAGTTCATACCACAGCAAGGAACATAAAAATAAAATCTCTAAACTATTTGCAAAACTCAATAATATTCAATAAATTTGCATACTAATTAGCAACTTTCTAATAAGATTTTTTAGAAAAATTCAAAGTATGCAGTTTTATAGCCCATTAAATTGTAGTATAACAAAGTGCAAAGTGCTAAATAATCCCATTGATTTTTAGCAAGTTTTTTTCCTGACGCTGTTATTATTTTCATCCATAGAAAAAAAATTGTCGGACATTGGAGTTACAGGAAAAATGATTCCGTACTCCAAAAAATACGCTTGAATTGATATGAAAAGTAATATATGTATGTATCTATGTGGGTATATGAATAACGACCGCTTAAAATCGATTTCAAAGTTCTACTTTCGCTGTAGAAATTTTAGGTCTACGTTATGTAGTTTGACTATTGTCAATTAAATCGAATGCTTTGTATTGCATGCGCTCCACGTTTTTCATTTTCAATTTCATAGATTGTTTATAATGACTTTTGCTAAAATTTCAAAATCAAAAGTTATCAAAACAAATTCTATGGGACTGAGAAATATTATTTTCTACTTTTTAGTCCATTTATAAAAGCGTTGTATATTAAAAAGTTTTTTTTTATATTATTTATTATTTTATATCTTTTGAACCATGAAAAAGTATCTGTGAAGTGCAGAAGGAAAGCGTTTTGAACGAAAAATTCAATCAGACAAATTTCAGAAAAAAACAGGCGAAAACTTATCCTTTTCATCACCATTTTCGGTACTTTGCTGTACATACGTTTCTGCCGCACACTTTAGTGGGATCATTAAAGTATCCGGAAATGGAATCGGTAAACGGACAAAAATCCGGTTATCATAGACTTATTTTTCGTTTTCGGATTTTTTGATGGCTGGGTGTAAAGCGATCACTGTTTGAAAAAATGCTTTTTTTGTTCGCGTACTTTTTGGCTGCTACTCACTTTTTACTCTCACCGCAGAGAGTAATTTTGCTGTTTGACATTTTTGTTACTGATAGTAAAAAGCGAGTAACAACGAAACCAGTGATCGCTAGAGATATGAGCCATATAACAGTAGTAAGAGTTTTTTTCTTTGAATTTTGAATTGTGTCGTTATTGCAGAGTACCATCGATATGTACTTTTGAGAAATGTTACTTCAGTTGAATTTCGTATGTAAGGGAATATGTATATATTCAGCGTCAAATCGACCTTCGTGGAAATGCGAACCTGAGCGCGAACCAGAGCACGAACCAACTAAGGTACAACATTTTTTATGATTTTTTTTTTACCTTTTAGGGCACAAAAATATTTTTGTCCTTTATTTTATTTTTTATTTTTATTTTTATTTTATATATTTTAATATTTTTGAAAGCCCAATCGCCTTAGGGAATAACAGAAATTACCGCAAATGGTTGTTACTTGTTAAAATTGAAATTATGTAAGGTGAGCAAAAGATTAATCATAAAAATTTACGATAGTTTTTAATATTTTGGACCTAAAATCTTTTTCTTAAGTATAGCTTTATTTTTAAAGCTTTTATGTATTTCCAAGTACCTGTTTCGGCAATTGAGTGGTTTATGTGAACCTATGTTAAGCTGGATTTCCATTGAGCGTAAAGTGACAAACATTTTCTTTTTTACAAAGACGGAAATTAAAAAAAATTGTCATTAAGTTCGTCTCCACAAGGCGTTTTGCAAATGCATTTTTTTGGAAATGCGGCGTTAGAATAGACTTTGAATATGTCAGTGTAAACTCAAAATAAAGTCAGTTTTTGTTTTAAAATCTTATTTGGCAGCTGATTTACAAGTGCTTCTAATATAATCTAACAAATTAAACATCGGCGGCTTCAACAGTAGACAACTAACTCACATTCGGTGATTAACTTTACATTTTTAACCAACTTCATTTTAACCGAGGAGCTTATCAATTCGTCGGAATATGTGTGTGTGGCGTTAGAATAGACTTTGAATATGTCAGTGTAAACTCAAAATAAGTTGTCAGTTTTTTTTAAATCTTATTTGGCAGCTGATTTACAAGTGCTTCTAATATAATCTAACAAATCAAACATCGGCCGCTTTCACAGTAGACAACTAACTCGCGTTCGGTGACTAACTTTACATTTTTAACCGACTTCAAAAAAGGAGGAGCTTATCAATTCGTCGGATTTTTTTTGTATGAATGTTACTTAATGCCCTCAATATCTATAGTTAACTACCGAATGAGAGTTATCACGTCTAAGTAATAATAAATGTTAACTGCACGCCCAATTAATATCTACCCAAACCACTGAAGCACAAACATAAATCATTTTTATTTGCTTATACTTACTTGGTGTTTGATACTTGTTAAATTCGGAAAAGTATTCCGAAAGTTTACTCTTTCCAGCTTTAATTTTTTCAGCTAACAAATCTTGCTTATTTAAAAATAAAATTACAGAAATTGTGCGTAACCATCTGCAAATATGAATAGTTTAAAATTAATCGAGATTAAAAAAGCGGATATTGCGCATAATATTTAATATGCAAATACTAAATACAATACAAATAAATATGCTGATGAGATGTACATATGATTTCCCCAAACTTTTCTGCAGCATATATAAATATAAAATAAACTGCAAACATGTATTTATTTCTTATTTTCTTTGGAGTCGTTTGAATGCATAAAAATAACTATATTTTTTATAGTAAAATTACGCCCTAACTTAACATCATTTTTTATCAAATGCAACATTTCTTTTAATTACCTGTTATTCCAAATGCTTTTGAATAAGTCCAATGATTCACGGAGACGATTTTGCGTTGGATCTTCTCGCAATACCATATTGTAGCTTGAACATGCAGTTACAAAAATTATAGCTGTAACATCATTGAAGCATTGAATCCATTTACGCCGTTCATCACGTTGGCCTCCAACATCGAACATGCTGCAAAATTAATTAATATTTATGCATGTTAAGTTATATGTAGATTATGTTGGGCATGAATATGCATATGCATAGGTATATACATATGTACATCGTTTTTTATGCAGGTACTTACTGGAAATTTACTTTATCCACTTGAAATCGTGTTTCGAAAATGCCAGAAGTCAAGACACGGCATCTTAAAATATCCTGCTCGCTTGGTGTATAATCTGGTTTCTTTATTATGCTTACCCGATCCAAAAAACTTGAAAGAAGGAGAAAATATAAAATAAAAATGTGGATTTAGATATATTTGGCAAGTTGCAAATGTTAAAATGGCAGGAAATGCGAAAATGGTAGGAATTTTCCATAATGAAGAAATTAAAAAAAATACTTTTTTTGCTGGAAAATTGATTGCAGTTTAAGACTAAACAATCAATATTCTAAGCGAACTCACTATTTTGCGCAGTCAATCAGTTGATATTCATTTGATCTTTCAAATGTTTGCAATACTCCTCGATCTTTCCATAATTCCTCTGTATGCTCATAAAATTCCGGAGGATAATTAAAATCGGGACCTGAAAGAAATTTTATAGGAAGTTAGTAAAAAGTTAGTACATATGTACGCTAGGGTGGAGTAATTTCTTCGGAGCAAAGTTTTCGTAGAAATTATATGAATTATTTCTAATTTAAAATTATACGATTAATTCTAAGCAAGGTTGGCGAACACACTTTAGACCAAAACTTACGTTTGACCATCCCAATTTTCAAAAGAAAAATCAGGAAATCAGTTTATGAAGAAAACACAAAATTTTGTAAATGAAAAATTAATTTTGTTCAGGAAATATTATGGTACATACACTGATTGTTCTTTTAAAAATTGGGAGGGTCAAACGTCATTTGTTGTATATACTTTGTTAACCATTTTTGCTTAGAATCGATCATAGAATTGGAATATGCCATACACTTTTTTTCGAAATTAAATTAATCCGCCCTAATGTACGTATGACTAAAGGTATATTGTAAATATTTTTTTTAATTTTTACTAAAATAAGGAACCATTTGAAAAAAAAGTTGTTTCTAGCATAACTTTTTAAGATCAGCCTAATTCTATGACATACATACAATTATTTATTTATACATACATAATACGTGGAGAGTAAATATTTAAAACGTTTCCTATGTAATCATTAAATTAAAAAATGAAAACTTTTGTTTGTGTTTTTAATACTACTTCAAAATATGACCTTCTTTTGAATAACTTTTGAAAGTCTAAAGCTTAAATTTTCACATAAGTAATTAAGTTCTATAAACGTACATACATATGTAATTATTAATTTAAGCAATAATTTAATTTAATATTCTTACTGGAAGCGTAATCCTGAATGTATTCAACCCTTGTCTCGTTCTCCTTTTTTTCCAAAGAAACAGGTGGATTCAGTGTGCTCATGGCACCAGTAATTGTCTAAAATAGAAAGTCAAATAATCAATTGAATTCTATAAAGTATGTGTACATATGCATATCTACATATTCGCACATGCACACACGTTTACACATTCATACATACATAGAAATATATGAAATTATGTTATGAATATGTTACAGTAATCGCTAGTAGTCTAAATTTATTATTACTTACCAGGATTGCATCGCGTATATTCTTCTTAATATCATCGACCTTTTGCTTCTTTTCTTGCTCGGAAAATCCATCAACATGCAAAATTCTCATTTGCTTTACAATAGTCGATTTTCCCGACTCACCAGCTCCTAGCAATAGTAGTCGATGGGTAGCTCGATATAGTTGCTTATCCTTTTGGAGCTGCTTTGATATTGCATCGCTTCGACGCTTTTGACTTTTGGAGTCTTCTGAATTTACATCCGTTTGTTTGGAGCTGGGTGACCCGAAGCAACCCATAGCCGTCCAAGGTGTCCACCAACACGCTGCTCTGTTCTCTTGCGCCCCGTCGGGAGACTCCGCCTCCCTATTTCCTCCGTTTTGAGCCAGTCTAATTAGCTCAAAGATCAAGAAGCGTTTTTAAGATATGTGCGTCGCTGCTGTTGCTGTGGTTCTTGTTTTGAGTGTTAAGTTTCCAAATACTTGTGCTTTAGTTGTGTGTTTGTTTGATTTATTTATTTTTGAACTCTCGTTTCTTTTATTTGGTTTTGTGTACAATGATGTGCGTGCAGTTCCCAACCTATTGCGCTTCTGTAAAGGATTCAACATGAAAATGCATAGCAATATTTGCACTGACGTGCCGTGTAATAGTAATTGATCAAATGGAATATAAATATACTTGGCATTAAACGATGGTATTAATATATCGGGGTATTCATCCATATATTGATCTACAATTATTGCATTTTGCAGATAAGGTAGAGAGTAAAATAAAATTAAATTAGAAAACTGAAAAAATAATCTGTTTTCAATAAAATATATATATATATATATATATATAATGTATGTGTAGTAATGAAGAAAAAGTTGAACTAGCTCCCACTTAATAAGTAGCAATAATATTGTTCCGATTTGAATGAATCAAATTAAATTATAGTTTAATTTTACTCTTAATATAAAAAAGTTTACCGTGAAATTAGGTGAATACCGAGATAAGTTCCCTGCGAACCAAAGTTCCCGAAATCCTAACGAAATCTTTAGGAGTATCTCATTTCTGTAACGATTTTTTTTTACGAATTATTAAAGTATGTGGTTGACACGAACTCGTAAAGAAATTTCTGTACGAAATATAAAGAAAATTCTTAAAAAATTCCATAAGAAATTCTTCACAAAGCAGCATTATTTTCATTGCTTTACCGATCTTCTTCCGAAATTTTATAAATGAATAAGTGTGCACAGTGAATATCGTTTTAGAAAATTCGGCAACAAATCGGAAGAGATCTTTACGAATTCCTTAAAATTTCTCTACAATTCAGAATACTCTGAACAAATGGTTTGCAGGGTTTACATGTATGTACATATGTAAATACATACATGTGTATGTAACCAGCAAACAATTTTTTCAGAGTATTCTGAATTGTAGAGAAATTTGAAAGAATTCGTAAAAATCTCTTCCGATTTTTTGCCCAATTTTCTAAAATAAAATAAACTGTGCAAACTTTGATTCTTTTACGAAATTTCGGAAGAAAATCGGTAAAGCAATGAAAATAGTGCTGCTATGTGAAGAATTTCTTTCGGAAGTTTTTCAGAATTTTCTTTATTTTTCGTAAAGAAATTTTCTTACGAGTTCGTGTCAACCACTTCATATGTTTCTTTGAAGATTCGTAAAAAAACCGTTAAAGCTAACGGATTAACTCGACTTAATTCGGATCAACTGCAGTTAATTCCCGAGTTAATCCGGATCAACGCAGCCGTCTGTTTATGCTCTTACAGTAATGAGATACTCCTAAAGATTTCGGGAACTTTGGTTTGCAGGGTATATGCAAAGTTTATCCTCTTTCCTACTGTTTTAGAACATTGTCAATCATTCTAAATTTTTAATTAGACCAATTTTATATTTTTATCACGCACTATACATATATGTATGTACATATGTATGGATGTCCGCATTTAGCTGTGTGTACATCTACATACATACATAAGTGATTATGCACACATAATTTATTTATACATAATATTAACCTGGCTTTGAAATTTTGATATCAGCTGTGACTGTCATTCACTATACTACTTAATTTACATCTCTTTATTTAGTATATCAAACCAAAAAACTTCCCACTTCATAATCTCTACCTCCTGCTCATCCCTGCTAAATGTTGTTTTTTTCTGCTCACTACTGTATATAAAAAAATCTATGTCTGCGCCGCAGCATACTTTTGGAATATTCATACCTACATACATATATACATACATATGTATACTTTTGTTTTGCATATATGTTTTTAGAACCTTAGAAAAGTGATGATTACGACCAATATACTTTTCGGAAAATGTATTTTTACACTTTAAATTAAACATTTTTGACTCAACAAGTTTTTTCACCCTTTTTCGCATGAATAAAAGTATAATATAACGCGACTAGGATGAAGCTAATGAATTTTATATCGAGGAACACTGTCTCACATCAATAGTATATGTATGCATGTACATAGGTATGTATGTATGTATATAAAAAAGTGATCTGCTCATATTGTACTTTCTTTGGATACCTAAAATATGTAGTTTTAGAAAAGATGTCACATTCATTAAATCCATTCGCTACAGAACTATGTATGTATTCACGCATTAAAAAAATATATATATATTTATAAAATTAGAGTACGACTCCCGTGAATAGGTTTTTTTTTGCACAAATGCGGAAAATCTAGGCGTGGTATGCAAAAATTCACCCTCGAGCAAGTTTCGAGTATATCCCAATGAAAAAATGAACATACGGTTTATATTTTTTAACAATCGCGCATGTAATATGCACATTGCAAAACACTTTTTTCCATTTATATAGGAGTTATTACCGACATTGTCCATTTTTATGTATCGTATAAGAAAAAATATACGCGAATATGTAGCACACAAGCGTTCATACATACAATTATGTGTATTTCCAGCCAACGAACGCTTTGTGCATTTACTTTATGTTACATTACGAAATGTGGTTTTCACTTTTTTATAGCTTTTTAGCTAAAATATACTTAAAACTGATTTTTATCAGTATAATTTTATCACTTTTAAGAACTCACTTTGCACTATTTTAGTGATGTGCGATACTTGATTATCGAAAAGCTATCACTATTCAAGTATTTACTCCAATTGGGATACAGTGCTGCCATATCAAAGAAGAAATAATTGGGACCCTACCCGATTCCGGTAGCGCATTTTGGTTCTGAACCGATTCCGGTAGCGCATTTTGTCCTAGTTTCGGTATTAATTCAGAATTTTTTTTTCAGAAATTTTATACCAATTTCTTTACTACTTCTTGTCAACCGCTTCATATATTTTTCTTTAATGATTCGTAAAAAAAATATGAACAAACTTACGATGCTTTAAAAAGATTTCGGAAGCATTTGTTTGCAGGATATGTATTTACGTGTATGTGTATGTATACGCGGATATGTAAAAGCACAGTTAGTCAGCGACGTAGCGTAAACGTAGGTTGGCGTACGTAGCAGCATATCAAATTTACTGTTGATAGAGAGAGAGAGAAACAATGGCAACGTCACCGCCATGCGGTGGTGAGTTTTCGCTAACACGCGAATCCCATAAGGTAGATCGTGTCTGCGTCAACCTACGTCTACGTTACGTCGTTGACTGTTTGAGCTTTAATAGGGCTTTCGCATGCGGCGATTTCACCCTATTCAGACGAGGCTATTTTTGGTTCAACACGAATTGTTATTTAAATTATTGAAAATGAATTTAAATCGCAAAATTTTATGAATCGGCGTAAATTTGGTAAGCCAAGCGTTGGTAAAGTGCTTTTAGCGAAGCTGAAAGATAAAATAAAAGTAAAAAAGTAAAAAAGAAAAAAGTATGTATACAGAATGTAAACAAACACAGGGTTGCAAGGAAAAAAAGTTGAACGAGCTCAAAGTTGGCTGGCGACCAAATGGCTGGTTTCACAAATTTGAAATTTGAAATTTTCCCTCTATTGCCCATTTTGTTGAGTACGGGAATGATTTCTGGGCTGTTTTGAGCACTAGCGGGATCCCGCGTTGCGTATGGGAAAGAACCTGCTGTTATGCAGAGAGTCATTCTTTGTCTCAGAGATATTTTTTACTACTTTTTACATTTGTGTATAAAATAACAAAAACAATAAGAAACAACTTGATAAAATCAAACGAAATAAGGATTGCTAGCATTAATTGTATTCTACATATGTACTACTTTGTATACAACTGCAACAAAAATGTACCATTCTGCTACTAAAAGGAGAAATAGTATGAAAAATACTCCATTTCGCTACTAAAAGGAACAAATAGCAAATTCTATTCACAAGCCAACCCTCTTTTGATCAGTGATTCGGTCTCAGCCGGCTGGTCAAATTTGAAAGGATTGGTCATGCGGTTCAGTGTTCTCGCTCGCTCTCAATTTTTTCGTTTTGCAGTGAAAACAACGCCAATTCGTGACCAGGAATCATATGATCGTCTGCGTAGAAAATGATTTATCGGCCAACCAGTTGGCGAACCGTTAGAAGTTGGTGGTAAATAAGCCGTGTGTAGGCAAGTTGGCCAACCTACCAAAGAACGTAAATCTAGAAAATTGGTTCTTATCAGAATTAATTCAGCGGTAGTAAAAATTAGTATTCGGCAAATTTTGCCAATTATGAGGACTGTTCTGAAAATCCTACGACTTGAAATCAATGTGATTTGTAGAATACTTTTGACTATTTGTAATTAAAGTAATAATATTTCAAATGGAAACTGCTAAAAACACATAATTTACGTTGTTGTTGTTGTAACAGCATACAATCTTCCTAAAGAGGTCTTATCCACCGATTTAGTGCCAAATTTTTTACTTTTTGTTGAAAAATCTCCAAAATAAGTTTTCTAGATCCTACTGATTTCATATCGTACTATTTGCAGAACATGCCTGCATATTTTACGGAGCAGTCAATATATGGTATCGTTATCCCAGCAGGTGACATTCGGCAATTTATACAAACTTTGAAACGAAAATTTTTAAATAAGATAGTTTGGAATTTTTCTTCTCTCCCTTATTATTAATCATAGCGCCCACAATTTTGACTCTAGAAATTATTATTTTTAGTTATGTACTAATAATAGACTGTATGATTACGGTTTCAAAGGATGTACATGATTCCATAAGTACAATATTTTATATGGGCATTTCCAGGGGAAGGTCTTTATAGTCAAAAATTAAAAGTGATATATCTATGTTGCAGAAAATTTGACATGAAAAAAAATCACAATAACTAAATTTTTGTCACCAAAAATACACAACAAATGCGATTTCTTTACAAAAGGTTGACTTTAAATCGACTTTTTTTTTTAAATTGTGCAATTTTGTGCAAAGTCGCACCATTGGCCCTATTGGACAGATGATCGATTAAAGATTCCCGTATAGATCCGATTTATACACGCTGACAAGCAATTTATATCCTTATATGAAAAAAGTGAAATCGCATTTTTTTTTTTCAAATTTAAAGGAGCGCAATTAGCATGCAAGAATGACGTTTAAAATTGCAAAATGATGTATTTACTTAAGTTTACAATGTGTAAAACGAAAAGTATACCCAGACTGTAATCTCGTAAGGAAATGAGACAAATACGACCACTGATTGATAAAGGCCGGACAATTGACGATTATCGTTCGTCAAACAGACATGTTTGTACAAGATCAACATTCTTCTACCTTATTTTCGAACAACTGGGGACCGATTTTCTATTATATCAGACATCCATACGCACATATATCGTACCTGAACTTTTTTTTACCAACTTCGATTTTTGATATTCCTTCCCCTTGATCGCCAAATTTACGCACTGTGCGACGTAACAGAAAAAAAAAACATATTTGTATCTGGCTAAGGACCGTTTTTTAGACAAAATTTCGTGATTTATATGCGGTTGCATCAACAATAACAAATCCATATAAAAAATTCAGATGAAAACCCCGCTTTCCCAACAACGATTCATCTATGCTACCAGAACAAACTCGTTTATATCCGTGACAGGGTTGTTTAGCAGATGGATTACCCAAACATATCGTCTTGATGCTAACAAAGAGTTCTTTGTTAGTCACAGCATTACTAACTAGATGTTCATTTTATAATTAAAAGCGTACAAACACATGGTTTGACATGGCATTTTTTTACACTTTACCAAGCTGATATGCAGTAAAAGTACATAATAAAAGTGAACAAAAAATGCTTTGAAATTATAATTTACTCTTGATGCTGATTTTAAATTCAATTTACAATTGTTCTAAGCAAAATCATCTACATTTACAAACTACAAACTATAAGTAATACCATTGTACACAAATACAAAGGTCAATAGGATACAAATATACCATAGGATATAACGAAATCTGCAATACAAAAAAAATTTACTAGCATCAGTGCCTTTTTTCTTTCCGGCACATTTGAGAACAATAGATTTACATTTGTCGCATGCATTTAAATAACATACATACATTTTACATTCATTAGTATAAATATTTAAACTTTATTACCTAAGGGTTTTTTTGACAATACTACTACAATGTCTACTAGCCAATAAAATGATTGCCTTAAATCGCCTTCACATAGATAAGGTGCTTTAGTCCAAGCTTCAATACGGAAACCCATTTGATCTAGTAATTCAAAAAATGCAACTGCCTCTGCTTCGAAACTCAATTGCTGAGAACGTTCTGGCCAATGTTTTAGTAGAGGACGTAGTGGCATGTGGGATGAATTCATTTCCACATAATGTACATAGGGTAAAACCAGTGCCAATAAAACACGTCCATTTGGGGCTAACGCTTTATAAATTTCTTCCAAAAGATCTATTGGATCGATGCATCGGTCCAGCACGTTCAAGCATGATATCAATTGGACATTTTGTACCTCACTTATCCGTTCAAGAATACTAAAGTTTCTATTTTTTAAACGCTCACGCATTGTCCAACTGGTTTCTGTGGCAAATGTATGAATTTTGCTATTTGGATGTAAATCCTGAATCGATCTTAGCAAACGTATAGTAATTTCACCATCTCCGGCGCCAATATCTAAGCAGTGTATCTGTAAAAGCTTAATTTTTTAAATATTGGATAAAGATAGGTTAACAGTGTTATAATTACAGTATCATATGATTTGAAGTCAAAACCACCACATTTAAGCAGTTTTCCAAATTGTTGTTCCGATAGTATAAACATAGAACCACGATTTAGATATCCATTAATATCAGTCTGCGTCATAAAAAATTGTAAAACTACGCGAGCTACAGCATGCCAGATGTGAAGCCAAATATTTGTTGATAGTACTTTGGCACGTTCTAGCCAACGCGTTGTCGATTCGTCTGGCTGGAGCAATGGTACAAACTTGGTTTGGAATTTGGGAGGTAGTTCATGATTGGTTGTATACCACTGAAAATACATATACTAGTTAGTACAATAAATAACACACTTAATTTAATTATCAAATCGTTGGAATATTTTTTTTAACGGTTACACTTAAATTTTTTTATGAGAATTGAAGTCGGATTTGCTTTTTGCTTCAAAATTACTAGTTTTATCTCGGACTTTTTTATAAAAATAATTATGCTATCTCATTCTTACAAGACATGTAGTATCTGCACTTCTCACAAAAATGAGATTCTGATATAAAAATCCACCTAAGGCATAACTAAAAAACTTGTACAAGTTGGTACCAATTCCACATGGTGTTCGTTTGGCCAATAAACTAGTAAAACGTACATGGAGAGAGCACAAATGTTTTCCCAACAAGAATTTGCAAGCAGGATTGTGGCACATGGTTGCATTTTTGTCAACAATAATTGGAATTTTATGTTACCAGGCTGGTTTGATCTATGTGATTTGTGCGAATAAAACTACCTTATTTCACTTTCTGGCCCAACATTTCGCTAAAACATTTTAAGCTTTTTCAGGGGCAAGAGCCCAGCCCCTAATATATTTTATAAATTCATTCCAGGAATTACCGTTGATTTTTGGCAATTTTTTTTCACGCAGTCTTACATACATACAAACTTTTTTTTTCGAAAATACTATATATGGAAAAAATGCAAACTACCTTCAACAAAAAAAAAAGTTCTCAGAAATCAACGCGATTTTTAACTAACTCCGAACTTAACATTTTTTTACTAGAATATAATGGGCTTCAAAATTGCATTCTCAAAAAAATTCTAAAAAATCTGATTAAAAAGTTGAAAGTTTTGATGAAAATTTGCTGAATTTTCGCGAGTTTTGCACAAAGTTTAGGAGTTATATTTTTATGTTTTTTGTTGTAGAATAAACCATATTTTTATACAAAGCTAGCGGAAAAATATTAGAATGAAAATTTTTGCATATATTGTGAAAAACTTATTTTTAGAATAGTCTTGTAAAAATGAACAAGCATAATTACTTTTCCAAAGAAAAGCCCTTAAATTTTGCCGAGATGTAAAAAATGAATTTACCTATAGAAATGAAATAAACGCTGCGTTTCTTTATACATTCCAGATAATCACATTTCACAGCCAGAATAAACAGAATGCGTTTGAAATATACGTTAACATATCATCAGAAACGTTCGT